GCAATTTATAATAGTCCCATAATAAATTTAGGCTACTTTACAGCAACTAAAAGATTATTCTGGTGGAGCTCACGATTTCTTCTCAACGGGCGAGGAGGTTGGGGAGTTCTCCATGAGATTCAATCAAAGATGACGTGAGAGTGGACCGTTTCCTTCGGTGGTGCAGATAGAACTTCCCATGCTCTCCCCTTTGATGGTGTGGCTAAGCAAATAGTCTAACTGGTCTTTGGACTATATTGGGCTTGGTGGATTTTTCATGAGGTTGGGCTCCTCAATTGGGGTTGGATTTCTCACATAAATTGGACTATTTGGGCTTAACCCATCATCTTTAATATCACTTTTAAAGGATGCAATTTTTTTTTTTTTTTTGGATAAAGAAATTAAAATTTACTGATTGTAATTGAAGCTCTATTACAAGAGAGAGAAAATAAAATGAAAATCGACAAATAATTGGCAAAGAATATTGTGCATTGGATTACTCCAAAGCATAGGTGGAATAAATAGATTCACGTATAAAAAAAAATAGAAAAAATAAAACAGAAGGAGAACAGTAAAACACATTGACCAACCGAGTACACAAGCAAAAGAATCGAAGAGAGCCAATCAGAAGATGAGCTAATGATATTCCGTTTGCCAGTGGGACCTGCCACAGCGCACGATAACGAACGACATTCCAATACTTGTGCAAGGCAAAGGCAACCTCACGCGAGCAAAACCACGGAATTTAGTTTAGTGTGTCTCAATAACTCATTTGGCCAAAAACAAGGACAAATAACACAAAATAATTTTTTAATTTTTTAAAAAAAAAAAACTTATGACAAAACCCTCACATTCGTTCGCCCATCCATTTCTCACCTCAAATCACAAGTAGCTGCTCCAAATGTAAACAAAAAAGCGGGAGCGGGCTTCTCTGCCAGAAATAAAGAATAAAAAAGATAAATATTACAGAAAATATATTTCATAACGCATATTTTTCGAGCTAATGGACATCTTCGAGTAGAAGGTTTTTCAGATGCTGATTGGACTGGTTCTCCATCTGATCGACGGTCAACTACTAATTATTGCACCTTCTTGAGAGGTAATGTTTCATGAAAAAGTAAAAAACAAACAGTGGTAGCACGATCCAGTACTGAGACTGAGTACAGAGCAAAGACTCATACGACTAGTGAGTTGACATGGTTACTACACTTTATTCGGGAGATTGGTTTTCCAGTTCAGCTACCATTATAATTGTTCTGTGATAATCAGGCAACCATTCATATTACTACCAATCCAGTGTTCCATGAAAGAACCAAACATATTAAAGTTGACTGTCATTTTATTCGAGACAAGATACTAAGTGAAGACATTGCAACTCTATTTTTGAAATCTGAGGATCAACTTGCAGTCATGTTCACCAAAGCATTGAATTGTACTTGTCTTATATATATTTGTTTTAAGCTTAGATTATATGATATCTATAGTCCAGCTTGAGAGAAAGTGTTGAGAAAATTACTATAATACGATTAAGAAAGTTAGGATTTATGTTTATTGTAATATGTATACCACACAAAGGGTATACTTGTATTTTTATTTTATTCAGTGACTATAAATACAAGACCAATAGTGAGAGGTAGGTTATGCCAATACCTCTCTTTGTCTTTCTCCTATTGTGTTAAGTTCATCCTTAATCTTAACAGGGTGAAAAATCATTCAACACGCACGCAATTCGATTAATGAAATTAGTGGAAATCTACAAATTGAACACGACTAGTTTATTAAACAAGTTACATGAAACGCTTCGTTTCACCCTTTTAATAAACAAACCGTATTGGATAGAGTCGGGTCAGCACGATAACTCTTTTAACCCACAATCTGTTTAAATTTCAGTATAACTAATTAATAAACATTCCTACGAACTAATTAACAAGCTAACATAAAAATATGACATTTAGTGATGCCAACCAACATTAGAAAACTAAATTTAATTGGTAAAAATAATTATAATTATTAAATTGGATAAATTATTTTGACTAGACAAAAATTAAAATAATTATTTATTTATTATGATGTTAATTTTATTTAAACAAGTAAACAAGTGATACATGAGTTGATATATCTCACCGAAATATGACCCATTTGTTAAGCAGGTCTACCCGTTATGGTCTCACCTAAGCCCATTTAACTCCGTACCAATTTGTGTGGATTACTTGTGTCGTGTTGCATTTTAAAATGTCACTATACTTGAAAAACATTTTTTTCTTAATTGTACCATCTAATAATGAAAGTATTACATTCTTAGTTTTCATTGATGATTAATCTTTTTTTAATGATAATCTAAAATCAAGTTTAACCGTTCAAATTGTTAAACCTTACAAATTCTGCAATAAGTATTCATCCCTTCTTAAGGCCTGCAACCTTCTCTCCCATGTCAATTATGGTCTCAATGGCTCCCTCTCCGTTATGAAAACAAAAGCTTACAAGGAAATAATTATGAGGCCGTGGTTTATGTAAGAGGACCCTTCGATTTCCGTCCATCACATTGCACTCCAAGCACTCTAACATAAATTAACTTCACTTGTTGATTCATTGTGATCTTGTTTTTTTTTTAAAGTTTTTAGCCCTTTTCTTCTTAATTCAATGTTCAATTTAATAGTTCTTAAATGTTAAGTTTTGATTTTGTTTTATTTCTTGAATAAAATAAATCATCTGTGTACTCTATATATACTTCACCTCCCATTTTTTCTTGAGTTTGTTCTTGTTTTATTTCTCTGTCTTACTTTTCCAAACAAAAGGATTGAATAATAATAAATACATCAATTGCTAGATTAATTATCCTACTTAATTACCTACAATATGATTAAGTCATTTTAATCCCTCCACAATAATAATGCAGCATCCTTTCATATCTCTCAATGCACATTTAATAGGATTTGATTTTGTACTTCTTTTTCAAATTTTCTCTTTCTTCTATCCATATATTAGAAATCCCACTTTGTTTTTGGTATCTATTTGGAGTACATGGCTGATTTACTTTTTAATTTTGTGTTATAAATTAATTTCAGTTGATTTTTCAAATAAAAATCATTTGGTTTATTCATTGAAATTTTATTCAAAGAGAATGAAAAGCGGTTTTGAGAACTAGATAATCTTAGATTCAACCATGGATGAATCTCTGATGGAGAGAGAATTCATTATAGTTAACTAAACCTCAGTAGATGCTACTAGTAAAAATGCACCTCGTCATTTCTTGCTCTATCATGTACTTAACAATCGGTTGTCATCTACTTAACAACACATATGAAAAATGTGATAGGATTCTTGATTGCTCTCAATACAATGATGTAGGTTTGACAATGTGTGGCTTTAGAAGAATCCTGAAATGATCCATGTGCAACGCACATGTACACTAACTAGTGTGAAAAAATGTCGGTATATGTGAAAAATTTTTGATTTCTTATTTTATCCCTATTTAATAATATTAAATCAATCATGCCCCTCATATCTTTATTAGTGTCATTATTTTCCTTCCATATCCTATCAAAACTCTTCTTATTATATAGCATTTGGTTTCTACCCTTCGCTCTTTTTATTCTTATAGCTTTAGGTCTTCAATTACAATAGTAATTTTAATAATTTCAATTACTTTATAATATATGTATAGATTAATAACTATGTTTAGCAAAAATTAAAATAAGGATTAATTCTCCAACTCTGGATCACTTTGGTGGTGGACTCCTCTCAAATCATGAGTGTCATCTGAAACTAAAAGCAATCCCATGGGACAAAGATTGTTGTTGAAGTGCTAATGCTGCATTTATGAAACTTTCTGGTGTGCTGTTCATTTAAGATGAACAGGATTCTGTCAGTGGGGTATGGGTTTCCAGCTCCTGCACTTCCCACAAACATCTTTAATTTGAGCAGTGTTTCCAATATGTTGAGACACTCCTGTAACTTGTTTCGGCTTATTGTTTTTGAGTTTCTACTTTTTATGATATATTTGCTATTTTTTAAAATTGTTACTTGCCTTACTTCTGGAGAACTTGTTGACTTTTCAATGCTTGGTTGTCAACAAAGCATAATGCATAGCATGCCAACAGATATAAATCTCAAAATGTTGGTAAGTTCTACCAACTGCTTTGGGCTAGATATATGTATTTGTTTCTCCCGTTCTTTTCTATAGCTGTGTCTCTGGTTAAAATTCAAAGCAATATTGTAAATCAAATTATATTAGTTACCAATGTTCAAGTACACCCGAAAATCGTAATTTATTTATTTTTTGTGTGCTTTTGTTATTGAATAGTTGGATTCTTCCTAAATAGTAGGGGCACTGCTTGCTATAATGTTCTTGTTTTGTTTCTATGAGTTTTATAGTGGCTTGGGTTGTTTTTCTTTGGGCACCAAATTATTTGCTATAATGTTAGTGGCTAGTGTTGCTCTGTGGACATGTTGCTGTAACATGGTTATGGTCTAAATCTTGGTTACATTCAACGCTTGTGTTGTTTTCCTGTCAGTGTTATGCGGTAATATTTAACGAATTTTGGTGTGGCAGGTGGTGTTGATGAACTAGGGTTTTCACAATCTCGGAGGTCTTTATTTTTAGTGGTTTTATACATAGCAGTCATGTTGGTTTTAGTTGGGTCTATCAGCAATATTTGATACAGTCATTCTGTTATGTCAATTGGTTGAGATCCCATATTTGCGCTCCCTATGTTTGATTGACATTATGGCAACAAATTTTTGGTACTTGATTGGGAACTGTCTTCATCTTCTTCAGTTAGATCTTGCATTCATTTGTGTGAAAAAATGCTCCTCATTTTTTAGTGATGCTACAACTGATTGATCATATTTTCAGCAGTTTGGAAGCAAATATCTTTTATCTATCTCTTACGATTTAGGATCAATCTGGTGGTTGACTCTTAATTGATATCTCAAATCATTGTATGCAACTTAAGATTTTCATCAGGGTCAACTAGAGCTAAAGGCGAACCCATGGGATGAGGATTATTGTCGAAGTGCCAATGCAACTGCTGTTAGGAAACTTTTTGGTGCTGTTCGTTGAAGATGAACTGGATTCTGTCATTGGTGTTGAGTTTGTAAGTCATCTAGCTCCCTCCACTTCCCATCAACATCTTTAACTCGAGCATTGGTTTCCAATATGTAGAGAGACTCTCATAACTTGTTCGACAATGATTAGTTATTTTAGAGTTGCTATTTTTTATGATGGAGTTGCTACTTCTTATACGGTTGATAGCCTTGCCATACTTTTGGGGGCCCAGAAGTTGTTGACTTTCACGATACTTGGTTGTGGACATAGTATAATGCATATAGCATGCCAACAGATTTGAATCTCAAAATGTGGGCAAGTTCTGCCAACTACTTTGGGTCCAGTACATGGATTTGTTTTCTCCAATCCTTTTTCTCTAAAGCCAAGCCTTTGACTAAAATTCATGACAATAATGTATCAAATGATATTAATTAGCAATGTTCAAATACACCTAACAATCCCACCTTGTTCATTATTGTGTGCTTTTGTTATTGACTTATTGCATTGTTGCTAGTAGTATTGACACTACTTACTATAATATTTTTTTTGTGCCTGCAAGTTATGTAGTGGCTAGTGTTGTTTCTCTGTGGGCATTTGTTAACACGGCTGCTGGTCTCAATCTTTGCATATATCTAACACTTAATGCTGCAGGTGGTGTTTTGTTTCATGCACAATCAGTTTTTATATCATTCTTATGTGGTGATCATTCAGAAATTGTGATGTCCTGTGGATGTTCTAGGGATTATTGGTGTTCTGCGTTTTGGAGTTCTTTACTTTTAGGTTTTCTAAAATAATATATACGTCGGTGCTAGTTGCCATATTTTCAGCAGATTGGAGGCTAACGTCCTTTGTTTGCCTCACAAACCACTTAGTCAATTTGTTGGTTTGACTCTACGAGTCATTTCAACCTCTACTAATTTTTTTTTTCACACAAAACAAAACAAGAAAGTGTAACTTTAACATTTCAAGTTATTTATTAGGATTTTGCCCTTTTTTACTTTTTTTTTTACCTTTTTATCCTTATTGTACCTTTATTATTTGGCTATATATACGGGGGTTTTTCACTTAATTTGTATCTCTTTCCCACTCACAACTATTCCAAGTTAGTATCAGAGTCAAACTCATTTATTTATTTGGTGTCATGTCATTTAGGCCCCAATAAAAATTTCAAATAATATGTTGTCATATCATTTGGGATGAATATTTGGTCAATAAATTTGATCAGCAAAGCATTACTCTTTTTTCTACTATATCCCTTCCTGCTGGAATAACCTTCTTGTTGGGTGATGCAGATTTTATGAGGAATCTGCACAGATTATGCTTCACTGAGAAGAGTCATTTGCTGCTGCTACTAGTGCCTATTGTGCTGGAAGTAGCTGAACCATAAAGCATTAAAGTTCCAAAATTAGAACCCACCCACACACAGACACAACTATGTTACCATTGAACTAGTTTTCTTAATCTTTTGTTTTTGTCATTATAAGGCTAGTTTGTTAATTTCATTATAATGCACGCAGCTTGTAGATGGCCTCATTTAGAACCACCAAGCTTGGATTTGGTAGGAATAATGTTATATGCACTTAAAAATTAAACTTGATAATCACAATTATTGAATAGGTGGTAGGTTCCAATAAATACTGAAACTCACAATGAAATCAATAGTTATAATTATCAAATCTAATTTTTAAATTTATGTAGCATTGCTCATTTGGCATTCCTGAAGTTCTATATTGCATCTACTTGGCAGTTCCCTTGCTCTTTGCACCACCTCTTGCTTCTCCTGCTGCTGCCGCTGCCTCACCACCACCCTTATGGCCTCGCATTGGCACTGCTCGTCGATGTTCTCCAACTGCTCACAGCACTGTCGGAGTGACTGTTGTTGTTCATGTTACTGCTGGTTTGTGACCATCCTTGGTGCCAAATCGTACGGCCTTCCTTGTGATAAATACTTCTCGTAGTCACGGAGTTATTGCCTTTGGATTTGTTCGCGATCAAGGATCAAAATTTTGTTTTGGTGCATTGTTTTGGTAACTTAGAAAATAGAAATATTTTGATATATTTCGGAAACGTTTCATTCCGTTTTGAAAACAAAATGAAAAAAATATATATATATTTAAGAATTATTTTTTCAAAACATTGGTCGAAATATATCAAAATATCTTGAAATACTTTCAAAATATTCTGAAATAATTATGCAAATACATTGAAATATAACAAAATATTTTGAAACATTATGGAACATTTCGAAGTATTAAAATTTTAATTTCATCACTAATTTATTTCAATCTCCTTCAAAATAGAAACATGTTCAATGTTTTAATTATTTCGAAATGATATTTTGATCCTTACTCGCGACATCTCTGTTGGAAGCCATGGGGGTTTTCTTCCTCAATGGTGGTGGTCGTAATGGTGGTCCGGTAAGGGGATGCTTGGGCAAGGGATAGAAAATGATGTCGTGGGTTATGCTTTCGAAGTGATGTCGTGGGTTGAAGGGGAAGAAAATGAAACCCTAGTTGCCATGGATGAGGTTTATGAAGCTTGATTTGGTGGGTATGAAAAACCTTGGATTTTAAAGCTCGATAAGGATCTCGGTTTCTGGGGTCAAGGAAGCTGATTTTAGGATCAGCTTGAGCTAATTTGGATGTTTGGTTGGTCAAAAGTAAAGTCGAAAAACTCTATTTGAACATTATGGTGGAACCGAGGCTTTTGAGCTCAATTTATTTCAAACTTGAAGAAGAAGAAGACAGAAAAGCTCCTCAACAGAACATGGGCCAAATGCTTCAGCCTCTTAGAACGCCACTAATCTCATAAACCTCACCAATGGATTCTCTGCATGTATCAACTTAAACCCCATAGCATCTGAATTGTTTGTTCCCCTCGCTTACACAAGGCACGTTGACTTGAAACGGCCACACCAATATGTTTTAACCTATCATCACTTAGAAGCGCGTGCCTAAGCATTTTCCAGGCATGAAATTTCGCTGATGGGGATGCTTCCTTCCTCCATATTGCAGCTGCAACCTCATTAAACTCCCCCTCTCAACCTAATTTTTCCCCAAGCCGAATGAACAGTAAACACACCAGAACTTGACAATAGCCAAGTTTCTACTCCTCGAACAAATGATTTCTACTCCAATCAATAGGGTCTTGCTTCTTAATGCTATTGTAGGAAAGTGTGCTCCTCCTTGATGGGCAAGGCAATTGAAGGTCGTCATGTGTCTTGCCCAACACATCACATAACCTTGCCTAGCGATATGACGTGACTTTCCTTCTCTCAACCTCTATTGGGTGGATGTCGAGGACAAGCCGTCGTGCTGTGGCGCTGGGGCTGGGGTTTTAATTAATTAATTTTAAAAAAAAAAAAGCTTTATTTTTTAAAAAAAATATTTAAAAAATGGACATTTTTTTTCTTATTTTTTTCGCTCGAGCATAAATGATATTTTCACATTGTTATTGATAATTTGTGAAAAAATTATTTGAAAAAAAAAAATTATTATGACTCCTTGAACATATGATATCTGTAACACCCAAAACACATCATTCATATCATGAGAGCACTAATATAATCTCTTAAGAAACAAGACTTCATTTGTCATTCATGAATATTTACAACATTATCCAAAAGAATAAGCTCAAGTCATGACTATTATATCTCAAAAATTAATTAAAGAAGCGCAGCGGAATAAACAAAAGAAGTTAGACTACACAATGTTCCAAAAGAATGTCCTAGTCTGGTACAAAAGGAAAGAAAGTCGCTCTATGCGTTCACCTCGGGATCCACACTCCAGTTCAGTGGAGTCTCCCAAGTAGCGAGCTCCTCGACCCTTACGTCCTCCTCCTCAAGTGGGTAATCTGAAAAATGTTAGCGATAGGGGGTCAGTACGAAGCTCTGTAGAAAAATTCTCATAAACTCATACAAAGTTTAGAAAAGCATTTAAAACGATTAGTCTTAATTTTAATATAACATAGATACATAATTTGAAATAAGGCAGTGACATTTAAAAAGGATCTCAAGTTTATTTAAAAATATTACTTAAATGAATAAACGAGTATCACATACAAATAATAACCATTAATTGTCATAATCAATTTCCAATAATTCTTTCGGTAGGTGGCATACTTTGTGGTAACCTCCATCCCCCTTTAGGTCACCTTTGATTATCAAGCATCCTTACCGGGAACCTCATGAAAATGGATGAGCATCCTTACATGAAACCTCTCACCAATCACTACATTATTTTTCAAGCATCCTTACCGGGAACCTCTTGGGAAGGGGTGAGCATCCTTACAAGGAACCTCTCATTCATGTGCATCACAAACAACCTAACCAAGCATACAATTTCAACATTTATCTCAATTTACAAGTATCTATCCAAAATTCTCAAAATATATCATATAACAATTCCACAACCAATTAAGAAAATACATGAGATCACAATAACATCATTTTTCTACCCAACACAAAGCACTAAGGTTTCAAAATCCATAATAAAGAAAATATTTATGAAGGAAATACATCACTCTCCAAAAATTAGGGTTTTAAAAGTAGAAAGGAGATTTCATGGGTATTAAACCCTACTTTGTTCAAAACATGTAATCCTTGCAAAAAACCTAAGAGATGATGATTTCATAGCATATATATACCATTGATAACCAAAACATACATATATAAATACCCTAGCCTCAATGTAAGTGAATGAGAGAAAACCTCTACCTTAAATCCTTAGCTTTGGAGCGAAGAACAAGAATATTTGATCTTGAATCATCCTTGAATCTCTTATATTTCCCTTCCTTTCTTCTTCTCTAATGCTCTCTAGGGTTTCAAGAGGTGTGGAGGTGTGAGGGGAGTGAAGGAAATGAGAGCAAATGAGATGAAAATGAGTTTAAAACATAGCAGCCCCGAAAAATACTGTTCACAGGCTGTTTTGGTTTCTCCAAATTTATGATTTTACCACTAAGAATCTTCAATTTGATCCATATGACTACCTTAAGGTTTGTCGACGTTCCGGATTCATTTTTAATGTTATTTTAACCTAAAAACATTTATTTTTATGATTTATCTCAAAACCCAAGTCAACGTACACCCGAAACACTAAAATTTCTATTTTACCCATCTAAATCGGCTATTAATGAAGTTTTACAATGTTTGCAAATAAAATGTGATAAAGGGTGTTTCTTAAAGCCTTTTATACTTATTTGAAGCCTAAATGTACTCATTATTCTTATATTTTGATTTAAGATGCAAATAGAGACATTAAATGCAAAACGAAGCTAATTGGACTATTTCGACATCGTTTCGTTATCTAAGCATAACTCTCTCATCCAAGCTCCGATTGAGATGATTCAAGATGCTATGGAATGATACGAAAGAGATCTAAAACTTTCATGTTTTGAGTTTTAAGAGATATTGACTGCACCAAGATCTAAATTGAGATTGAAGTTATAGCAGTGCACTGTTCATGTGCATTGTTCACAGTCTGTCTTCGTCCCTTTTCCATTTCCAATTCATTCCTAAGCCAACCAAATCCATCTCAAACCTCTTCAACACATATTTTTACACCAAACCTATTTAATACAAGTTCTAGGACCTAAAATTTCATATTTTCACTTATTAAAACCAAATTTCAACTATTATTTTCACTAACATTTTAAATCTCTACTTTTCCAATCTACCAAATTCAAACACACATCACTACATATATCCACAGTTTTTTTACCACAATTATTTACTATATATTTATATACATATATAAAAGAAAATGCGGGGTGTTACAATATCTACTCTAGTTACTAGAGTTTTGCCTCCTAATGTTGGATGTCGGGATCATGTTGTATCACGGGGGCAATGCTACTGAGATGAGCAAGCTCGACCTTGACTCTCCCTTGTTGCCCCTCACAAATGCCTAGAAGGAGACGTTAGTTGGTGCTTGGTACTTGGGGACAGTCAACAGCACTTATGGGCTCGAATTGGTGGGTGTACCTAACACTTGACCTGGTGGTGCCTAGCGATACGACATGCCTTGAGTTCTCCCACCCACTCAGGTAGATGTCATAGGGCATGTTGCAGTGCAATGACATTGTAGGTTCTTATGTTGCGCATGCTTGCAATGTGCCCCTCATTGCGTCCAAGGGCTAGGCACTAACTTTCAGTTTAGGAAATGCTATTACAAGGGGGGAGGTACTTGGAGATGATGCCTACGGTGGGCAACAAAGGGACCACGGTGGGGTCTTGCCTAACACATCAGAGGGTCTTACCTAGCAAAATGAGGTGCTTGTTCATTCTCCCACCTACCCTGATGGATGTCGATGACATGTATTGTGGTGGCATTGTTACTAGAGATGGGCAAGCTCGACCTTGGCACCCTTTGTTGCTTCTTGCAAGTTGCAAGTGCCAAAAAGGAGATGTTGGTTGTTGCTTGGCCCTTGGGGGAGCACATTTGGCACGCAAATTAGCAGGGGTACCTAACACTTGGACGGGTGGTGCTTAGTGATATGACATGCCTTGTGTTCTCCCACCCACTTGGGTGGATTTCGTGAGACATGTGACAGTGCAATGGCATTGTTGGGTCTCATACTAGACATGTCTGCCATGCATTGCTAGGCGAAACACAGTGGCATTAGATCTTGAAATGACTTTTGAAAAGTCAAAACACAAGGCACAAACATAAATGAACAAGGAAGCAGAAATAAAGAACGATATCACATTAAAGAGAGTTTAGTTTTTACAAAAACTTAGAAATGTTCACAAGATCATCAAAAGAAAAAAAAAACATAAGCTACGTAAGCTTGCTCCATAGCCTTCCCAACCTCCTCCCTAGTTTGCTTAACTTGGTGCTCCATCTGCTCATCAGGATCGTTCTCGACTTCCTTCTCAATGACATCCTTAGCCTCCTCTTCCTCACTAT